GTCTCGGTAATACCTGCCAGGTCCGCTCCCCCCTCTTGAATCAGCTCTTGAATGAGGGGGGCCTTATTTACTACGGACCTGGCGTTGCACAACATCAGCCGATGGTCCCGGGCCCGAGGATCTAAGGTCCCAGGGAGTCGAGTAGAGCCCTGAGGATCGGAGCATCCACAAGCTTGTAAGCAGTGTGTGCGTGCTCCCAAAACCCGATATGGTCCTCTGCTCCTGCCATACCTGCCCCTCCCACTGACCGTACCTATCACACCACCCTCTATTAATCCCCCAGTCTCCTCCCTCACCACTCCGCGCCCCCCAGACTGGACTGGCCCCGGCCTCTGAGAGGGCTCCCCCAAGTCCCCTCGGGCCAACCCTGAACCCCCTAAAAACCCCGAACCCCTTAAAATTTTTTTAAAACACCCCTTTAAAAATACCCTCAATTTCAACTTCTTTAGGTCTCTCTTTTTTTTGGCTGCACACCACCTCTCGGGGCTCCATACCCCGTCATCGAGGCAGGCCCCTAAGATCAAACTGGGCCATACCTGCGCGAGGGGGGAATCGCGCAGGGCCAGCAGCTCTGACCTGAGGTACATCCCAGTTCGTTCACAGAGTCCAGTAATATAATATAATTAATATAATATAATATAATATAATATAATATAATATAATATAATATAATATAATATAATATAATATAATATAATATAATATAATATAATATAATATAATATATAATATAATATAATAATATAATATAATATAATATAATATAATAATATAATATAAAATAAAATATAATATAATATAATAAATATAATAAATATAATATAATATAATAAATATAATATAATAATAATATAATATAAGATAATATAATATAATATAATATAATATGATATGATATATGATATAATATAATAATATAATATAATAATAAATATAATATAAGATAATATAAGATAATATAATATAATATAATAATATAATATAAGATAATATAATAAATATAATATAATAATAATATAATATAATATAGTATAATAATATAATTAATATAATATAATATAATATAATATAATATAATATAATATAATATAATATAATATAATATAATATAATATAATATAATATAATATAATATAATATAAATATATTATAATAATATAATATAATATAGTAATAAATATAATATAATATAATATAATATAATATAATATAATATAATATAAGATAGATAAGATAATAATACAATACAATATAATATAATATAATATAATATAATATAATAAGATAATATAAGATAATAAATATAAGATAAGATAAGAAAAGATAAGATAAGATATATATTATATTATATTATATTATATTATATTATACTATACTATACTATACTATACTATACTATACTATACTATACTATACTATAACATAACATAACATAACATAACATAACATAACATAACATAACATATAAGATAAGATAACCTTTATTGTCATTTTTTTACTGTGGGCACAATGGCACACATCAAAAATGAAATTTAGTTGCCCGCTCTCAAAGTGAAACACATACACGACACACACCTAAACATACTATGTACAACATATGTATAGACCCACACCCCTGCATATACGTAGCAAATAAATATTAAATACTGTCCATCTTGAATATATTACGGAAGGAGGAGAGTTGAGAGTTCGCAAGGTTAATGCTGTGTGGAATGAAACTCTGGCTGAATCTGGAGGTTCTGCTACGGATACCACGAAGCCCCCTCCTCCCAGAAGGGAACAAGGAAAACAGGTCGTGAAGAGGATGTGTAGTGTCCCAGATGATCTTATGGACCCTCCTCAAGCAACGCTTCTGTGCTATGTCCTGGATGGGAGGGAGGGAACTGCCAATGATCTTTTCTGCCGTCCTCATCACTCTCTGCACCACCTTCCTATCTGAAGCAGGGATGCCTCCAAACCAGACATAGTATCAAAGCACAATTCCCTCCTCCAATTAACCGTCATAAATCACATTCTCCAATTAGTTTGAAATGCAGGCTTCCCCTCCAGTTCTCCAGCCGGCCAATCCTTATCATCTCTTATTCCAATAACCTTGGTTCTCACACTAGGCTCAGCATTGTTATGTCTAGCTAAACTCTCATGCACATTCCTCCCTCCCCCGGCATCATCTAACTCTAACTCTAAGAGTAAAACATAAGAAGGAAAATGGCTGCATCTCCATAGGTTGTCAAAGCAAGAGCATCCAATGTTAGCGACGTTGACACATCAGTTATCTCGCGGTGGGAAGTGTCATCAAATCATACAGTGAGGGTGTTATGAAAACAGCACCAGGCAGTTTCTGTTGCTGCCTTAGCGGTTTTATTCATGACTTAAAATATTACCTAATCTTGGCATCCACCACTGCAGGTAAATGCAGCTTCCTTCTCCGGAGATTGTGTTTCTCCTCTTCAAAAATGTGGGAATTGGGCTGACAGGAGCACCCGCCGACAGGATCGCCTCTTACCGGTGGTAGCAGATCTTTTTCAGATCCTCCATGTAGCTTGCGCAGATCTCCTGCAGGGGATCTCGTGTCAGGGGGCTGCAGTCCACCAGGTTTTCGTTCCAGGAGTCATTCCACGGCTCGACGCACTCTTCGATGCACTTCAGGATCTCCTTGTCGTGCGGAGAGGTGATCTGGGCGCCGTTTTCCCAGTAGACCTGCGTGAAAAGAGTTTGGGAATGGGAAGAATTCGTTCAACAGTCAAGCCGTAGGTTCAGAGGTAATCCTCGACTTACGACGTCAAAAGACAGCTTTTCTTGAAAGCAAGCCCTGTCCTGGTATAATTTTTGGAGGCTGTGAAAGCTGTGCAAAAATGGGGCGTGCTCTGCCACAGGGCTTTTCAACCAGTGGTACGGGTACCACCTGTGGTACATTGGCACCTGGCAGGTGGTACGCAACCATCCTAGAAAAGTGGTAGCGGGGGAGGGGAATGAGCTGAACCGGTGGCAGCACCGCACAAGCCTGAGCGAGAGACGGCTGGAGCTGCAGGGCTGTCAGGGCTCAGCGGAAGCGCCAGGATCAGCGCCAGGATCCAGCTGGAGCTCAGCACTGATCCTGGTGCTTCCGCTGAGCCCAGAAGAAGCGCCGATCAGCTGGAATGTTGCAGCCTCTCCAGGGTCTTGTGATGTACATTCAGATGCTTGGCAACTGATTCGTATTTATGACGGTCACAGTGGCCCAGGGTCATGTGAAGTGACCAAAACCTGCTGCAACCACCCAGCAGACGGGGGGGGAATAAAAACCAAACACCCCCCCACCCCACCCCCGCTGCCAATCCTCTACAGAAATGCTCACGACAATGAAAACCTCGGACAGGAGGAAGAGCACCGCCGGGCGGGCAGGCAGGTGTCTTGCTCGGCTGTGGCTGGGGGGGCACTTTTTTCAGTGCCATTGTAACTTTGAACAGTCACTAAGCGAACTGTTGTAAGTCGAGGACTACCTGTACTTTATCACTTTTTTCCTTTTTTTGGTCGAGTTTTTGACACCGTGCTAGGCGATTGGTGGTACTCAGATGTTGCCATATCCTAAAAGTGGCACAATGGGTGAAAAGGTGGAAAAGCCCTGAATCTACCGCACAGCCTCCAGATCCTCCGGAGGTCACGTGAGCAGCCCGTGCATTTGCACAGTTCAACCAGAGCCTCCGGAAATTGTGCGAGAATGGGGTGCGCTTTTGCACAATTTTCAGAGGATGTGGAGGCCACGGAAGAGCATCCGCCAAAGCTGCTTTGAAAACTAAGGCCACGTGCAACCCGGAGCAGTCTCAGGTAGGCTGCAGGAGCGTTATCAACCGAGAACACCACCTGAAGGACAGCAGCCTGTGGCAGAGCCTACAGAGGGCTGGGGCCACAGAGGCAACTACACCCTGGGAAAGGGCAGAAGGCAGCTTTTTTGAGGGGCTGTAGTGGCGCGAGGGCTGAAGTCAAGGCCCAGGCCTCCGTTTCGAGTGTGGCCTTGGCGTAGCTGCCAAGAGCTGCCTTCGTGGTGGCAGGAGGGAGGAAAAAGATAGAGAGCTGTTTCTTGTTTTGTTGGGGAGGGTGTAACGGGCCAGCAGAGTCAAGTTAGACGTGTTTCAAACTAATAAAGGGGAATATTTGTAGCTCAGGGTGGAAATGAGGGGTCCCTGGTGCTCTCTGAGCTGGGCAGTTTTCTTGCAGACGTTTCATTACCGAACTAGGTAACATCCTCAGTGCTAGAAGGGGATGGGGTTGGAGGAGGAGGAGGAGGAGGAGGAGGAGGAGGAGGAGGACGACGAAGACTGTGGGATTGTTGACTCTTTCCAAGCTGGGTGGTTCTTGCAGACGTTTCATGACCCAACTAGGGGACATTATCAGTGATAGGGGAGAGGGGTGTTTGTGAGGAGGAGGAGGAGGGATCCTTGACGTTCTCCAAACGTGGTGGTTTTCTTGGGAGGAGGAGGAAGAGAGGGAAGAGAGGGAGGAGGGGGAAGAAGAGGGAGGGAAAGGGGGATTCTGGGGTCTTTGGTGCTCTCTGAGTTTGGTTGTTTTGTTGCAGACATTTCATTACCTAACTAGGGAACATCATCAGTACTAGAAGGGAGTAGGGTTTGTGGGAGAGGAGGAGGAGGAGGAGGAGGACAACGACTGTGGGGTCCTTTGTGCTCTCTGAGCTTGGTGGTTTTCTTGCAGATGTTTCATTGCCTAACTAGGGAACATCTTCAGTGCTACAAGAGAGTGGGGTTTGTGGA